GTTTACAAACCTGAGTGACTAGAAATTCCACAGCTGGAGCTTCATTTACTTACTTTAAGGCCTTAAGGGTCTTTTTTCAGACTACCCTTTGTAGTGAGTAATTTTAAGGATGTTATCAGTTTAATTTGAATGGTTCTAAGATCCTTTCTCCAGAACAGGTTTTGACAAGGGGATGATGGTGCCTAATAGGGAAGAGGGAAGGGAGGCAGAGGGAACAAAGTGAGTAAAAAGCCAAATGAATCAAGAGGTCCAAGATCTGAAGACAAGTATCTATTATTTCATAATTTTTCCTTTTGCTGGCTCTGGCTGAGTATTAGTCTACAGTTTGAACAAGAGTACCTGGTCATGGAATCAATCTTCTGGAAGTGTGAGAGCTTCTTCTTTACTGAGGTATCAGCAATATCATTATACTGCACCAAAAAACCTTATATTGTAATTCTAAGGGAAAGGAAGAATGAATTTTATGTTATATATAAAGGGACAATAATTTTCACTGTATAATTGCATTTTTACCTGTCTCTCTACCTTGTTAAAGGTGTTACTATTAAAAAATGAAAATAAATCTTGTTTCATTTCAATGGTAAAACACTAAAAAAGATGCTTTTGAAATGAAAAAAAAAAATGATGCATCAGGATTTATTTTATTCAACCAAGAGTCTATTAAAAGTATTTGCTCTTTTAAACATTAAAACACATAGAGGTTTATAAGATTATTAACCTGCCATTTTCTACAGTTGAAATAACTTCTAACAGGTCTCTCTTTGTTTCTAGACTTTCCTCTCCAACTCATCCTGTATACTTCTGCCAGTTAAATGTTGAAACCTGCTATCATTATATGATTCCTTTTTAAAAAATGACCAAAAACAAAACAAAACCCCACCAAAACCAAAAAATTTACCTTCAACAGCTTTTCATTGCCTTAAAGCATAAAGTCTCAACTCTTCATTCAGCCTGGTATTCAAGACTCTTCACAGCCTGAGTCTTGCTCAGTAATGCACAGCATGAAGAATTCTCCATTCCAGCCAGTCAAGTCTTCAATACTACTAAGTCACATTTTTGCTCACATTCTTTCTTCTCCCTTCCACCCCTATCCTGCCACTACTTCCCTCCCCATCACCTAATCTGAAATGCCCTCCATCTTCCTCTCCATCTCTCTAAATCCTATCCATCCTTCAAGGCTCAGTTTATTTTCTAAACCAATTAATGCTTTTTCTAAGCATTTCAGACTGTGCTAATCTTTTCCTTCCCTGACCTTTGTAGTATTTAAATACCCTATTGTACTATTATTTAAATGTTTTGTGTTTATCTCAATTGGACCATAAGCTCTTAAAATGAGGGCTTGTGCCTAAAGTTCATTATGTAGGACCTAGTACAGTGCTATCAAGGCAGTAGATATCCAGTAAAAATGTCTAGAATGAACGCACGTGAAATGTTTTTAAAATAGCATATCCTAGGGGTTATAAATTGGTGCAAGAAATAGCCTTATCTTTTAAGAATCATAATTTTTATATTGAAGAGTTAGTTATAACTTTCTAGCTATAAATATGCTTCTGTTCTCTCATTTTGGTTTCTTTTGCGGTTTGGCAGATTTGTCCTTTTATTTACATAAGGTTAGCCAAAGTCACAGAAGAAAAACAAAAATTAGAAAAAAAAAACATTGAATCAAGGATAAAAAAGGGTACACAATTTCAAGACCCAAGCTTATTCTGATATCCATTTTGTTTTATAAGTTTGTAGGAAAACATGTTATAAATGTATTTCCTATTTGTTATTTGGAATATATTTCACGGAAGGAAATATTCCTTCCATTTAAAAAAGATATATTCACATGTGACCCTATGAATCTCAGCAAGCCAAAACAAACAAAAATAGTACCTTAAGGTAGTCAAAGATAATCATTATTCTTTTTTATAATATTTTAAAAATTGCTTTTAGAAACAATATCTCCCACCCCACTCCCCAACAATTGAATGTAAAGAGAAATTTGTACCCCCAGAAAAAACTTGTTTCTTGATTTCCCTTGACTCCTGTCCTTTAACAATTCACTTACTTTGGTTTATGTCTGACAGCAGTTACAGTTCTTCAAAATTAAGAGAGAAATCCTGGACAACTTCAAGAAACAGGCAACTTTGCTATAAATTCCATTACCAACTTACATTGGATTCGGAGAAGCTGCTCCACTTCACTGTGAGGCAAACTGCACAGCTGTCTATTTTCAGCTTTCCAAGCCACTTTAACTACTGCTTTATAATTTTATACTTCTTTATAGAGATTAATGTCCACGGAAGTGACTAAATTCAAAGAGCTTAAAACTAAAATCGGACAACCATTTCCCGGAAAAGCAACTTGTTACTTCACAGAGCTCAGGATCAGGGAAGTGACTGACGTAGCTTTAGCCAATAAGGAACAAAAGACCTGAGGTACCCTTTCCAGTCAAAGTTTGTGACCCAATCCTTGGGAACCTAGGGCGGGAATTTTAAAAAGGGATTGGCTTTCTCTTTTCCTAGGTCTCTCCTTAAAGCTAAATCACATCATTTGAGAAAAATAAACTAATTTTAAAAGTTTAAAAATTAGTAACCGAGATGGGTAGGTGCTTTGTAAAGATGTTTAAATCCTATTAGTTAGCATTGTAAAGACACTAAATGGGCAATTCTCAAATCAGGATGTTACGTGTTATAAGAGCATTGATCTAGAACTGGAATTTTTTTTTTTTTAAACTGAGGCATTAGAGGCACAGAGATGTTAATTGACCTACACAGTTCAGGTGGTGAACGGCAGGGTAGGGTTTTGAGCTTAGTTCCTCTGACTTTAGATCCAGCATTTTTCCACAAGAGGAACCTTGAGTTGTTACTATTACTATTATTTATTAAAAACCTAAACAGAAATAATACTATATGTTGATTAGAAAACGCCATTGATTGTAGTTGTTAATTTCAAGGAATTTTGAATAATCGATTTGATTAATATTTTCATGAATCCAGATACCTTTGCTACACACGTTTTGAAAGAAAAATGACATTACTCACATCAGATTTTTAAAAATAGAAATACATGCCCCTACTGCTTTATTCTTTTATGACTTTGTTCTCCCAACCTAGTGTTAATCTTTTTTCACCCCAGGGAAAGTAAAAGTTTGTCTAAGAATCGCATTTATCTATCAGCACGGGGCCACTATTCTTTCTACCGAAGAATCTCAACGTAGCAGAAATCACTGGATTGGAACCAGTGTATGGGTTGTAATCTCTCTAAAAGCAGTTTAATAGTTTTGTGCCTTTTGAGCAAAGCTCTTGACCTATGGGGATCTTCCTTTCTTCAAATTTTTTTTTTTTCTGGTAAGGCAACTGGGGTTGAGTTGCCCAGAGTCACATAAATAGTGAGTGTTATGTGTCTGAGGTCACATTTGAACTCAGGTCGTCCTGACTCCAAGGCCTGTGCTCTAACCACTAGTGCTACCTTGCTGCCTCCCTTTACTCAAATGTTAAAGGGGTATAACTACTAACCTATCTTTGGATTGTTTTTGAGACTCAAATGATATAATGTATATAAAGTTCTTTTACTCCTAAAGTATGATATAAATATACGTATAGTTGTCATATTCCATCCAAAAGATAATAAAGCTCTTGAAGGCAGGTTGTTCAGTTTAGTGTGGAAAAAGCACCAACCAGTTCAAATACCAACTCTGTAGCAGGGCGTTGACGGCTAAACCACTTACCGTTCTGAATGTTTCCTCATCTATAAAATGACGGGGTTAGAAACAGCCCCCTGCTGTTTCCAATCTGTGACTCTTTGCTAGATCAGTGAACATTATATAAAAGCGTATGTTTTAAAAGCCCATGACAGGCATAAAGGAGATTACGTATACTTTGGTTCTCATAACCACTCTTTCAGTTCGGTAATTTAAGTACTATTATTCTCATTTTACATGCATCAGAACAGAGGCTTCAAGAAATAAGGCAACTTGTCTAAGGTCACCCAACTATTAATTTGCTTTGCAGAACTCTGACTTCAACTTCAGTGCTCTTTCCATTCCAAGTAGGGTTCTGCAGAGAAATAATGCACTTGACATTCACCGATGCTTTCTTAGAATACAGAGAAGAACTAGACATGCAATTTCATCTGTATTAAGAACTCTTTGGATGAGGAAACTCCTTTTACTAAAGCAGGTCCCGAAACTTCTGTCTATTGTCTTACAGCGTTGCCCAAGGCACTAAGAAGTGACCATATAAGTCAAACGGGCGACTTGAATCCAGGTCTCTCGGGTTCCAATGCCGATTCCCTATCCGGTACTAGTAGCTAACACTTACATAGCGTCTATTACGTGCCAGGCACTGTGCTAAGCCCTTAACAGTCAGCCACGCTTCCCTATTATTTTGTTTCTCTTGTATTGGTAAAATTTGTCATTCATGGTTGTACCCTAAGTGGGAAGACAAAGGCCATGTTTTGGTCCTGAAGTGAGGAGGCACAAGCAGCTCGCCAGCGCTGCGGGAGCAACCTGCACTGGCCCTCCGGAGCAGCTTTCACGGCCGGGAGCCCCTTCCCGCCTTCGCCGGGGGCGCCATTCCACGGTTCTGGAGGGAGGGCCTGTGAGGAACAGCAGCTGCTGGGTTATTAACCACCCCTGCCCATATCCTGCGGCTCGGCGGGAGAGGGCCCTCCGATCATCGGAGAAGTAACAGAGCAGGAAGGTAACGCAGAAGAGACCACAACACTCTCGACATATTAAAAACAGACAACTACAGAACCGGGCCGAGGCGGAAACGTCGCGCTCTTGCCTGTGAGCAGATACCGCGAGAACCATAGAGTCTCGCTCGCGCGATGCTTCCTTCCTCCTCCTGCTCCGCCTCCTCCCGCCTATCTCCCCGCCCTGACTCCACCCCTTCCCCCTCTCTCCCCCCCTTCTCCGGGCGCGGATCCGGGGGGCGTGAGTCAATTGGAGCTAGGGCCCCCACCGCGCCTTCCCCCTCCCCCGCCCCCGCCCCCAGACCACACGGCTCCGCCCCTTCTCCTCCCCGCCTTCCTCGCCTGGGGAGCTCAGCCTCGTCTAGGGGAGAGCCCGGGGCCGCGGGCTTCGGCCAGGACTGGATGTGAGTATCTCCTCCTCCTCGTCCTCCTCCTCGTCCTCGCCTCCGCAGCCCCCAAATCCGGACCTCCGCCCCCGCCTGGCGGGGCTGCCCTCCGACCAGGGGCTCCGGGTCCCAGCCGGCCCCGGCTCCAGGGTGTCTCCCACCGAGCCTTCGCCCCCTTCGGGACTGACTGGAAAGAGCCGTTTCCAGGTCCCATCTGTCTTGACCCCACCCGGCCGGGCCTCGCCTGCTGCTGTCTGCGCCCCCGTCCCCGCAGCGCCCCCCTCATTCCCCATCCCGCACCCCCGCCCTCCGCCCGAGCGTCCCCCTCCCTGGAGGCGCCCAGCCTGCTGACTGCGGTGCTGTCACGTGAAGGGGTGTGTGCGTGTGTGTGTGTGTGTGTGTGTTTGTGTGTGTGTGAATGGTTAGACACATGCTGACAGACACTCTTGGAGTTGGTTGGCTAGTGGTAGTAGTGCTAATGTGAGGACTGTTCATGAAGGAGTGTGTGTGTGTGTGTGTGTGTGTGTGTGTGTGTAAGTGATTAGACACATGCTGACAGACACTCTTGGAGTTGATTGGCTAGTTGTTGTAGTGCTAATGTGAGGACTGTTCATGAAGGGGGTGTGTGTGTGTATGTGTGTGTGCGTATGTGTATGTATGTAAATGGTCAGACACATGCTTACATCCCTGGAGTTGTTAGCTAGTTGTAGTAGTGCTAATTTGAGGCTTTGTGTGTGTATATGTGTGTAAATGGTTAGATACATGCTGACCGACACGCTTGGAGTTGGTTGGCTAATTGTAGTAGTGCTAATTTGAGACTTTATGTATATGTGTGTATATGGTCAGACACATGCTGACAGACACCCTTGGAGTTGGTTGGCTAGTTGTAATTAGAAAATTGTCCGTGAAGTGTGTGTGTACGGTCAGACGTGCTGACATCCCTGGAGTTGGTTATAATAGTGCTAATTAGAGCAATTCTTGTGAAGGTGTGTGTGTTGTAATGCTAAATAAAGGGTTGTCGTATGAAAATGTACGTGTCTTGAGTGTATGGGAATATAAATGGTCATACCCATTTTGACACCCCTTTTCCTGGGTGGAGAATGTGTTGTTGCTTGGCTAGTGTAGTGGTGCTAATTAGGACGGGTGATAGCCTTGAGATCTCAGGTGTGAAGCTTCTTTTTAGGGAAGGAACTCCTTTCAGAGGACCACCTAGGAAAAAAAAAATAATCTTTTCCTTTTAGGCTGCTAGGTCTCATAGGGTATAGAGTACTGTGCCTGAAGTCAGGAAACCTGAATTCAAATCCAACTTCTTAATTCAAATCCAGACACTTAACTGTGTGATCCTGGACAAGTGCCTTAAATTCTCTCTGCCTCATTTCCATCCACTGTAAAATGGAGATAATAGCACCTACCTCACAGAGTTGTTGTAAGGATCAAATGAGGTAGTATTTGTAAAAACACTCAGCACAGTGCCCGGAGCATAATAGGCACTCAAGAAATGTCTATTCACTTCCTTTTCCCCTTTTAAAATGGGGATGGGGTGGGGTGGAAGGGTTAACAGGAGCATTTATTAAGGTGTCAGGAGTTTGATTTTTTTTTTTTAAGAGGATACAGCTTCATAGGATCACAGATCTAGGCCTTATTCAAGCATCTCATTTTACAGATGAGTCAGGCAGCAACCATTTATTAAGCACTTACTACGTTCCAAACTGTGCTAGGAAGTGGGGAAACAAAGGCAAAACATTTCAGTTTTCAAGGAGCTTACATTCTAATTGAAGAGACAACATGTAAATAACAAGATACAAATAAGATTATATAGAGAGAGAGTAGATAGATGGAAGGTATTCTGAGAAGAGAAGTGCACAGAAGGCACAGAGATTTTAAATGACTTGTCCATGATCAAGTCTGTTAGTTAAGTGTCAGAAACAAGAATTGAACCACATATTTTGACTATGGAGTCAAATCCAGCTCTTTATCACCTAGAATGAGTTATGTATCATTCTCAGTTCTCTGGTAAAAGCTTCTAGAGTATATGAATTGATTAAAAAGTCATAATATTGTACAGCTATTTGGTGAACTAGTCCAAACCCCTCCCCCCTTTTAAACATGAGAAAAGTGCTGGTCTTAATCTAGATGTATAGTGAAAGCAGGAACATTATATTTTTCTTGTTTTTACAAAATTTGCCTCTAAATTATTGAAAAAACTTAAACTCCTTTGTCTTTATCACATAGACCTACTTTTTGACTCTGAAATGACTTACACAGTTATCAGACTCAGGAAAAAATGACTCTAATTTATCTTGTCCTCAGAGACTTGGTGTAAAACCATATTTCTTCGTATGTTCATGGCATGAATATTCTCTATAATTTTCTCATCATATTTGATCTTATTTTCAAATTAAAATATTCAGATTCCTATTCAAATCAATCAATCAACATTTATTATATACCTACTATGTGCCAGGCATTATGCTAAGTTCATTCCACTAAAAAAAGCACAATGAAACATGTTCAGAAGGCAACCTATTGGAAGACCTGAATTTTCATAGTGTAGACTATAGCCTGTAAGTGATTAATAGTAGTATTTATTTATCATCAATAAGAAAGTTTACAGACTTGTTGGTGCAATCTTATGTTGGGTCCTTTAAACATATTTCAGTGTAGCTGTACATGAAACTAAAAAGTAACAAAGTGAATATTTGTAGTGTATTTTTTAGTATATAAATGAAGGCTATGCACTGCCTGTGAATGCTGTGGAATTATAGGAACAGTAATAGGTGTTACTAGTGTTATATGATCTTATTTTTGTCATTGATCAATTTTAAACCCACTGATATGACTACTTTGTAATTACAAAATCTTAGAGACCTTTAATTCGAAGTATTTTAATAGGGCTCATCAATACTTTTGAGAGTCAGGAAACCTAGGTTCTAGTCTCTGTTCTGCTTTTAACTTGTGGGACCTCGGGCAAGTTATTTGACTCAATTGGCTCCAGTTTTCTCATCTGTGTTGGGCTAGAGAATTCAGTTTAATTCAACAAACATTTAATTATTTACTGTGTGCTAGAGTCTGTGGATACAAACCTTTGGGGGTGGTGGAACGAGGATAAGTACACAATACAAGGGAGAAAGATAAGTACAAAAAAAAGGCCCAGGCAGAGTGCTATGAGAAATTTTAGGGGAGAGATCACTTTTACTTGTGGAGGAGGGAAGAGGATTAGGAAAAGTTTAATGGGAAGATGGTATATGAGAGGGACCTTGAAAAACAAGAAGGACTTAAACAGAGGGAAATAGTGAAGAGAGAATTTATTTCTGGCATAGAGGACTGAACAAAGCGGCAAAGATAGGAAAGAGCAGAAATTAGAATGAAGAACAAAAAGTAGTCCAGTTTTGCTGGAACATAGACTATCCAAAAAGAAATTGTATGAGATAAGAATGAACAGTTAGGTTGGAGTTAGACTGTAGAAGGCCTTGAATGGCAGAGTCAAGAATTTAAACTTCATTTAGTAGACACTAGGGGCTAACTGAAGGTTTTTGAGTAGAAGAGTGATAACTTAGCGATGCATTAGGAAGATTACTTGGCATTGGTGTGAAATACTGATTAGAAAGGGGCAACTTGGATACAAGAAGGCCAATTAGAAGCCTTTTAACAGCAGTCTAGGGGAGAAGAAATGAAAGCCCGAACTAAGGGTGTTTTAGTGAGAGTTAAGAGTCCTGATGTGAGAGATTGCAGAAGTAAAAATATCAGAACTTTGCAGTTGATTGGATGAGTGTAGGTAAAAGAGGAAAGATTAAAAAAATTACTCCAAGGTTATTAAATTGGAAAGATAGTGGTGCCATTAACAGAAATAGACAACTTAGGAGGAATAGTTTATTGGGGAGAATTTTTAGGCATGTTTGAAGTACCAAAACAGTCATGTCCGTCAAGCATTTATTAACAACTCCTATGTGTTAGGCACTGTAACTAGTGCTAAGAACTGGGGGTTCAAAGAAAGGAAAAAAAATTCCCTAATGTCAACGAATTAAAAGTCTACTGGGGGAGACAACATGAAAAGAACAAAATTAGGATTGGTAAAAAACAAAACAAACAAACAAACAAAAAACACCTTACTGTAGTTGGTGGGATTTTAGCCAGAACTTGAAGGAAAATTGAGAATCTGGCAGGCAGAGATGAGGAGGGAGAACATTCCAGGCATTGGGGACAGCCAGTGAAAATGTCTGGAGGGGTGAGATAGAGTGTCTTGTGCAAGGAGGCTAGTTTTACTAGATTGAATAATAAATGGAGATGAATAAAAGTATTAAAAAAAAACTGGAAAGGTAGGAGGAAACAAGGTTATGGAGGGCTTTGAAAGCCAAACAATGAATTTTATTTTTGATCTTGGAGGTGATTGGGATCTCCTGGAATTAGTTGAATGGGTCAGGGAGGGATGCATCATCAAACCTGCACTTTGGGAAGATCAGTTTGACAGCTGAGTGGAGGATGGACTGGAATGGAGAAGGACTTGAAACAAGGAGACCCCACCTCTAGGTTATTTCAGTAGTCCAGGTGTGAGGTGATAAGGGTCTGTACTGGGGTAATTGGCAGTGTCAGAGGGGAGAGGAGTCTTATGTGACATGTTGTGAAGGACTTGGTAATTGATTGGATATAGGAGGTGAGAGAGTGACTAGGTTGTGACCAGGAAGATGTTGCTGCCTTTAGCAGTAATTGGAAAGTTAGGAAGATGGGAGGATTTGGAGATAAGATAGGAGTTCAGTTTCGAACATGTTGAGTTTAAGCTATAGAATATCCAGTTCAGGATGTCCAGAAGGCCTTTGGAGTGGTTTAGGAGGTTAGGGCTGGATTAGTACATCTGGCAATCCTTACAATAGAGAGGTTATTGGAGCTGATAAGATCACAAAATGAAATAGTATATAGAGCCCAGGATAGAGCCCTAAAGGATACCCGTTGTTAGCAGGTGTGACCTGGATGAAGATCCAGTGAAGGAGTGATCAGACAGGTAGGAAACTATTTCAGGTGCATTTCTATCCAGCAAGCAGTTGGAAATACAGCCCTGGATAAAATGGGATTGGTTAGGTTTGATTTTGAAGTCACCTGAACAGAAGTGCTAATTGAAGCCATGCTGAATGTATCATCTGTATCTGTGAATCTGTGGAGATTTTGTAGAGATCAGTAATCTCTTCGGTTTCCTCCTTTGATGAAGATCACAACCTATCCATACCTGCCCATCATGTACGGTTCTTATTGATGTCCTCCCAGAAATCATCACGGGGGACCGCCCAAACACTGGAGGCCTTCCTTACTTTCTAACATTGTAAGGGTACCAGTGGAACGTTTGGTCTGCCAACTTGTCATTCGTTACTCTTGCCACATGACTATCCCATCTTCTCTTCCTATTTTAAAGTTTCTTGATTCCCTTTACTTCTGTTTTTCTATGAAATTTCTTATTGGTTATGTGTTGTAGCTTGTTTATACTTGCTTTGTAGAACTTCAAATAAATCACTCCATAGTCTTAAGTGTATAGGACTTTTCTGACTCTCTATTTGGAGTGGGTTTTGCTTGTTATTCAAATAATATAAAATAGCAGTGTGGGCAGTGAGGTTCTAGGATGAAGTAGGATAGATTTATAAATATAGGCCAAAGGAAAAATAGTCTGGCTTCACTCTCTTCTGGCTTGAAACTTATAGCTATTCTAACTCCCCTCCCAATTCCCTTCCATTTGACTGGTTCTCATTTCAATATAAAGATTGCCTTTCTATATAAAATTATAGCATTTTAGAGCTGTTAAGGAACTTAAAGATGATCTATTCCCTTCATTCAGGAGGGACTTGTGGCTCAGAGAAATAGTATGTTTAAGGCCATACAATATATTCCAGGGCCAGCTAGGTGGTGCAGTGGATAGAGCACCGGCCCTGGAGTCAGGAAGACCTGAGTTCAAATCAGGCTTCAGACACATAACACTTACTAGCTGTGTGACTCAGGGCAAGTCACTTAACCCCAAACACCTCACCAAAACAAAACAAAACAAAAAACCACATATTCCATAGATTTAGGTAAATAATCAGGTATCAGAAATACTGCAATGTGTTGAATTTTTATGTTGTACTAGTAACATATGTGAATTTTCATATGTTACCTTTCAATAAGGTTATGTTGTTTAATTATTAGAAGTGGGAATTGGTCTATTACTATGGATTAAGAATATGAAACTCATTGAGGGATCATAAATTTTTTGGTTAAGTAATTTAATGAGGCACTCTGATATGTAGATTACTTTAAGTAAGCTCAAATTCATGATTTTCAAAACTTTTAGTTTATTTTCAAAAGGAATTTGGAAGGAGTAACCAGAGAAATCAAGCTGAAATTCTTAGGTTGAAGAAAAGGCAACGTCTTTGTACCTCTATTTTGCAGTTCCTTGAATGTTTATGGAGTTACATGAATGAAAGAGTATGTGATAGGTCCCAGAGCTGGAAGGGATCTAAAGCAGTTCATTCTTCTGGTCCTGTAAAATATTAACTTCATTGAGGAGGTAGCTGAAGCCCAGGGAAATAAAATGATGTTATAAGATTACATAGCTAGTCAGTGGGGATAGCTTATGGTGGGGAAGGTTAGAACTTTGATCTCCTGTCTCCCAGTGCAGTATCCTTCTGTCATTCAAATAAAAATAAGCAAACAAAACTGTGATTCCCAGGATATGTCCTTTGCTCATTTCTTCCTAAAAACCCTCAAAACTGAGAAAAAAGGAAAAACAGAAGAAAGTTAGACTAACTGGATAGTACTTAGGAAGTGAAAATGTAAGGGGGATGAATAAGTGAAAATTGATCACATCCTATAGTTTATTAAAATGTTTTAAACATGTTGAAGGAGCTATTTTGAAAAAAGAAGTGGAATTTGTTGATTTAATTTTTTACAAGTTTCCTTTATCTGTGTGTGTGTGTGTGTGTGTGTGTGTGTGTAATAGTTTGAACCTTTCAAAAAAGGTATTGTGCATATTTTCTTAATACAAAAAAACCTTTTTCTAGCTGAATTAAATGTCCTGATCATTTTGTTTTGGCTAAGTTGTGACTTTATTTATAAAACTTTATGTTGACATATATATATATATATATATGTATGTATATATATACATAAGATTTTGATGATTGAGAAAAGTGAAAAAGTATATTTTTTAGTAAATTTTATTTTAGAGTTTGCAAAAGACTTTGAAAAAGTTTTGGATAAGATAATTCATTTTTTAGTGTCTTTATTTCCAACATTGGATATAAGCTACTTTACACACTAATTTGTATGATGATATATTATAAATGCTTATAAGAGATCAACTATAATTTAAAAATTTTCTTGCTCTCTCTTTAGATCGTACTTTACAAGATGTAGTGCTGTAATGTGGCTGATGGGACAGGTTCAGACATGGCATCAGAACTTTGTAAGACAATCTCTGTGGCGAAGCTGGAAAAGCACAAGAATTTGTTCTTAAATTACAGGAATCTGCACCATTTTCCAATGGAGTTACTGAAAGATGAGGGCCTGCAGTACTTGGAAAGACTCTATATGAAAAGAAACTCCCTTACAACCTTGGTATGAAAAGTACATAACAGTATTGTATTTTTAAATATTTACTCACAAATTAATGCTGACCAAAATCAGAGTTTTGTTCTAGGGATTTTTATAAAGAGAATTATCTCATGGTGTTCATGGGCAATACAAATACATAATTCACAACATTTTCTTATTTGGTTAACAGGATCGGTTTATGTTGTTTCATTGTTTCCTTGTGAATCATTCCATTCTGTACTCATTTCAACAGATTTGTACAGATTTCAACAGATTTCTCATTTGGAAATTAAATCTTAACATCCTGTTATCTTTTTGCCCTCCCATTTGAGGAGAAACTGCTTTGACACGTGGTTAATATATGTTAAGAATTAAGATAATACATGTTGAATATTAATAGTGACCTGAAAGTGTGGTGAAACACTTACTGACAGGGACAGAGAACTGACTACAGAGGACATACACTGGCTATGTAGCCCAGGGCAAGTCATTTAACCTCCAAAGTCTGTGAGCAACTCTTTAGGACTGTAACTTAAAGAACAGGGGGAATGTGCTAATTACAAGTTCTCTATACCCATGAAATCATAGGTCAGACCCACTCCCCCCCTTTCTTCCTTATCTTTACCGTCTCAAGCAGTGAACATTTATGTATCTTTTATTTTCAGGGCTTACTATATTATTAGTAGCATTACATTTTTAGTAAGTGTTATTTTGAATTCCAGTATTATAGCAATCATTTTAGACTTTTGTAACCTAACTTTTCTGTCCTTTTGTTTTGAGCTTTTTCAAAGTTTTTGTTAAATTTAACAAACATTTATTAAATACCTACTGTATGGTGGACATTGTCTTGGAGAAGGCATAAAGAGAAATAAAGTGTCCAAATTATCATGGAGTTTAAACATTCTAATAAGAGGATGTAACACATAACACAAAAAAATATACAAAATAGATCATAAGTACATATGAGATCTGTGGATGAAAAAATCATTTCCTACTAGAATGATCAAGGTAGTCATCATTAAAGAGGTAACCTTTGGACTGGATCCAGAAGACTAGAATTTCAGTAGACAAATGGGGGAACGACATTTTAGGCATAAAAAAAGTGTGGGCAAAAGCCTGGAGTTACTAGTGTGGGATGTGTAAAGAGTTGATGAGTAGTCCAATTTAGAGACAGAGTACTTAGAGGGAGGTATTTTGGGATAAGTTTGGAAAAGTACAGTGATCTCAGATATAAAAAGAATTCATACAAATGCCATGTGACGAACAATTTTTAGCCTGGCTTTCTTATGTTGAAGGGTTTTTATCATGAGAAATGAAGTATGAACATTACATTATAGAACTTTTATTACTGTTAAACTACAAGAAACATTTATTAAATATGCAGGGAGTACTGTGTTTTTCATTGGAGGAAATGAGAAAGTTTAGAAAAGGTAATTCTTGCCCTCAAGAAACTTATAATGTAATAGAGAGGTCACCAATAATGATAGGTGTCAGAGAAGGGAGGTGTTGTGACATTACTCCTTTAGGAGGGTTGATGTAAAAAATTTTTAAAAAGCCTTCCCCATTTCTAAAAAAAGCTTTCCCTGGTCCTCCTATCCTGTATAACTACTATCTTATCTCTTTCTTCTTCTTCACTGCAAAACTTCTTGAAAAAGTTTATACCACACTTCACTACCTGGGCTTTCTTCAGTGTTTCCATACTTCTGTATTGAAGCTAGTTTTGTTGAAACTAGTTTCTCCAAGGTAACTTTTTTTTGTTAGTCCTCATCCTCCTTGAACCTTTCCACTTTCTGGCTTTGTTAACCACCTATTGGATGCTCTTCTCTCCTTCCTTGGCTTCAGAGCTCCTGGTTCTTTTATTTCTCTAACTTTTTCCTCTGTCTCCTTCCCCTGAGTATGTTTACTGTGAGATGGAAGCAAATGATGGAGAGATCGAAGATGCATGATAGTGAGGGCAGTGACAGCTGGATTGGGGTTTCAGAAAGGTCTGGAGTGAATGAGAGCAAGGGTGCAGGTAGAGGGATTAGCTTTAGGGAGTAGTTGGAATATCTTTTCTTGTTACCAGAGGGAAGGAGGAAAGAAAGGGTAATAATGCTGAACAAGTTTGAGAACTAAAGGATGGCTGCTAAAGGAGTTCATGGTAGATGTTTTCTATATTTTAGTAAGGTGGTAAGGCAGGTTATTTACTCTAAATGTAGGGATAAATTAGTGTTTGGGGGTGAAAGGAAAGATGAAAAGGCATGGAGTAATTCCTGTGGGAAATTAGAAAAATCCGTAAGGGTAGAGTAGAAGTATTTTGAGTAGTAATTAGGGCCTAGCTGGGATTATATATTGTGAATTTGCAGCAGGAGAAATCAAGTCAACTTGATAGGCAGCAGGTCAGAGGGACAGGGGATTGCAGGGGAGTAGATAGTAGAAATGAAAGTGAGAAATCGTTAAGGTCCAGGATTAGTACTAATAACAATTAACTAACATTTATATTACCTTTTAAGGTTTGCAAAGCACTTCACATATATTATTCCATTTGATTCTTGCAACAGCTTTGTGAGTGAGATGCTCTTATTATTCCCATTTTACAGAAAAGGAAACTGAAGCCAACAAAGTTTAAATGATTTGCCCAGGGTTACCTAGCTAGAAGGCATCTGAGAAGGGATTTGAATCAGGTCTTCAAGACCATCTTTCTATCCATTATGCCACACTACCTTCTAGGAGGCAAATGAAGCTGGAGTAGGTTATGGATTGGTCAGGAAGCCAAAGGTAAGGATAAGGATGAAAAGTAGATTTGGTATCAATAAGAGTATTAGGAGACATAACTTAATATAGTATAGGAAGCAGAGGTTAGAAAGTAAAATTTAGAATTTCTTGTTCTTGAACTTGCTACAATTGCCAAAAGATGGTAAAGTTTTAAGGTGAGGTCTGACTTTGTCAGTGGGTGCCTAAAGTGAAGGAGGAAAACAGAAGGAAAATCACTGGAATTGAGGAATGTGCTGTCAGGTTGTCAGAGAACTTGCCAAACTGAATATATGAGTCTTGGGAGTATGGTAAAAGGGGATAACATTGAGCAGAAGGTATGAGCCAGGTGTGCAAGTTGTTTAAAACGTTAAAAGAATGACCTGCAGGTTGGAAGATGACAGCAACAAGTATTGAGAGAGAGTGATAGAAGTTGATTGTATGAACCTTGAATCAGTTGAATCAAGAAGCATTTATTAAGCGTCTACTGTGTGTAAGGCATTGTGTTAGGCACTTGGGTTACAAAGACAATGAAATAGGCTTGCCCTTACAGAACTTCCATTTTGTTGGTGGAGACAAAATGTGTGTGTATGTGTATGTGTATATATAGATAGATAGATAGATAGACATAGATATATAATATGTGTGTATACATGTATATATACACATATATATGTAAATATACACATATATGTATATATAAAAGTAATTTGAGGGAAGGGAGGTCCCAGTAGCTGGGAGGATCACCAATGGCCTCATGGAGATAATAAATTCTAAGAGCTCAGAGATGAGTCCTTAAAAAAAAAAAAGGATTCAGAGAGTGAAAATAAGTAGTAAGTACGTTCTGAGCATGGGTGGGCAAGAGTGGGTAGCCTATGTAAAGGTACATGGCTGAGAAATTGAATATCATATATGAGCCACAGTTAGAAGGCCAGTTTAGTTGGACTATAAAATATGGGAATGAGAATATTGTTTAAAAGGCTGGAAAAGTCAAGTCAACAAACATTTTTTAAGCACCTACTGTGTGCAAAGCACTTTGCTAAATGCTGGGGATACACAGAAGAAAAATATGTTGGAGCTAAATTGTGGATGGCTTTACATGCGAGGTAGAAGAGTTTGTACATGATCCTGAAGGAGAGAGGAATCACTGGAGTTTATTATGTGTGGGAGTGACATGGTCAGACCTTTGCTTTAGGAAAATCATTGGCAGCTGTCTAGAGGATGGATTGAGAAGGAGATTGGAGCAATAGTCATGGCTGGAAATAGCATGGGAAGTCAAGAGATCCTCTAGTCATCCAAACCATCTTGTCCAATCTCCTGATTTCACAGAGGAGGAAACAGATCCCAAGAGTTAAACTGATGAAGTAAACTAAGTAGCAGAGCTGGAATTCAAAATAAGTGTCCTCTGCATCCAGGTCCAATGTGTCTTCCGTCCCACCACGCATAGATGAAGGTATAGATGTGTATTGGAATACAAACCTTTACATTACCTTGAAAATTCTGTGTGCTGAGAGAAAGCTGTAATACTGCATTCTTTTCTGCAGTAGTCTTAGGATGACAGGAAACCTTGGGTAGAAGTAACAGGGGTGGTGATTAATAATTTATATAGTGCTTTAAGGTTTACAAAGCACTTTGTTATCTCATTTGATCCTTACAACAACCCTTTGAGGCAGGATTCAAACTTGGGTCTTCCTGACCTCAGGGCCAGCGTTCCATCTACTCTGCCACCTAGCAGGCTAATTCCAAGGCCTAAAAAGAAAGAAAACAGATGACTTAGGAGAGACAGGAGGCCTTAATTTATCCTGGCAAGAGACTCCAACCTTCTTTACCCTCCTAGACCATATATCTTTGTCCCTGTTGTAGTTCTTCAGCTTCTACTTTAATGGAGCCTTTAATTCAGGTTATAGGAGCAATCTCTAGTACCTTGAATTTGGAGAATCCTTGATGTCACTACAATGGGCAATTTTCTGAATATATTTTCATATAGAACACCATTAACTACGGTTGTGAGGATCAAATAAGATAATATTTGTAAAGCACTTTACAAATTTTAAAGTGTTATCTAAATGCTAGCTACCATTATTATTGTTGTTATTATCTTTATTTACTTTTACTTATTCTATGTAATGTGTAAATTAAGTATTTATGAGCTGACCACAGCCAACTTTATTTCTAGAAAAAAATTTGTCCCAAATTTTAAGTGACCAACGTATAAATAAATTTTTGGAACACAATCTTTTGTAAACTGGGACCTGCCCTTGAGGGTTTTCTTAAAATTGTGTCTCCCCCGTAGT